TCTAGTGGAAAGTACCAAGCCATGGATTCAGAACTACTTTTCTGTTCTCAGAAAGTGGGGCTATGTGGCCTCCCACTGTGACCTTGCCCTGAGGAAGCTAGGAGCAGAGGACCAGCTCTAGGAACCAACTGTAATGAGACATTTTCAGTTGTTAGTTCCCCTGAGCATAGCCTATTCCAAAAAGATCAAAGCTGTTACCTGAACCCAAGAAGTCAAGATAGAAAGGGGCCCATCCAAGCTCACTATGGAAGATGTCTATCAATATACCATACTAAACCAGATTTACAGCATAAGTCTTCCTAATCAATATTTGGACTGTTCACTATTAGAAGTAGAACTACATATACTCATTAATATAACATTTATTAGTAGCTTGGGGCTACATTAATGCATTAATATAACATTGTTCCCCATCTTTGGGGTAAAATACTGACACCCACAACTCAAAAGGACAAAAAGTTTAATTTGGCTCATGATTTGAGGGTTTCAGTCCATAGTTGGCTGGCTCTAAGACAGAAAAACATTGTGGAAGATCATGATAGAGGAACACTACTTATTTCATGGCAGCCAGGAAGTAGAGAGAGAAGGAAGGAGCCAAAGATAAGAATATACTCTTCCAGGTCATGCCCCCAGTGACTTTCCTCTTCCAAACAGGCCCTACCTATTCAACTATGAACTCATCAATGGCTTATTCTCTATTATCCAGTCAGCTTCCAAAAGCCTCATCTTTGAATACATGAGACTTTGAGGAGGACATTTTAGATCTAAACTATAACAAACATTAAATTCTAATTTTGATTTTTTTCTCCAGAAATGTTTGATACCAAAGGAAAAAATCCTGAAAGATTAACCCTAGATGACATCAGACTGATTTTGTCCAGCAACAGCATGCAAAAGAAGGATACTTGTTTTGTAATCCTCTTTCCAGTCAAAGATGGCCATATGACAAAGTCAGAACCTCTCTTAGACTTTTCCATTTCTTTATCTGGAAAAAGGTAAAACTTCCCACCTTACCTTCAAATATTTCAACAATGACATTAAATAACACAAGCAAAAACACATGGTGAAATGTAAAGCACTGTGTTCAAGAAATTGTTATTTCCCTGTTCATCTGTGCTAGCACTCTGTCATATAAAACTCTGAGGACTCTGGTTAGAGCCAACGTCAGATTTTAATCAGTTGCACTATCCATTTATAAGGATTCTCTGGAGTTGTGGTGTATTTCTTCTTTTTCTAATAACAATAATATCTGTACCTACTTCTTCAAAGTATATCTATCTGCCTGTCTTCTTATCTAAAACTTTCAACAGCATAGAAACTAATTTTCAAGGGATTTTTAAAATGTATTTCCTATTAAGGATATTGTTTTCTCCGATCTTCTCTCCACCATCAATCTAAAATCAAATGTTGCCATGCAGCTTTAATCTAACCCAGTCTTGTGATGTTATGGGATGCAAACAAACAGGAATTGCTGAGACTAGAAAGCAGCCTGCACTTGAAGCAAGGGCCTCTGTATTTGTCAGCTGTGCATTGCTATAAAGCCCTGGGGCAATTAATTTATAAGGAGAAAAATTTATTTTCACTCATGGCTCCAGTCCAAGATCAGGTGGCCCCATGGCTTTGTGCCTCTGGCAATAGTGTCGCAATGTGGCAGGAGCACTTGCAGAACAAACTTTTTACAGCATGAGTCAGGCTGCAGGGACACAAAGGACTAGTGGAGATCCCACAAATCCTTCCAAGGACACGCCTTCCAATGTCCTAAGGACTCCCAGAAGGCCCCACCTCCTAACAGTCTACAGTTCCTGCAACACCACCACTTTCCTGGGGACCAAGCCTTTAGCCCTTGCACCTTAGGAGGACACTGCCCAACACATAGCAGCCTCCACTACTCAGCCTACACAGTAATCATGGCCTCTGTCTGCTAAAAACAAAACAGCAAAACAACAACAAAAGTCATCTGCAGTAGGAAAAAAGAGTCAGAGGTAGATAAAAAGACTTAGAGTCATTTTGATATGTCCCCTTGATATGAAACCATAAGGAAGAAACTATCTTTGTGGTATTCTTCTCTGAAAGCCTATAACCCTAGTTCAATCATGAGACCTGTACCAGAGAGGAATAAGAGATCACCAAATCTTCTAAAAAGTTGATCCACCTATGGAAAGTGTCTCCATAGTGGGCATGAGCCTTGTAAAGGACTAGGAACAAAGATGCCTAACATGGATGATGGATGGGAACAGCAGGAAAAAGATTTTACAAAGAAACATAATATCTGACTAATACAAAATACCTGACCAACATTCCTCAAAACTGTCCAAAGTCATAAAAAAACTGTCAAAGTCATGAAAAACAAGACTTTTTAAAATGTCATAAATCAGAGGATTTTAAGGGATTGTGATGACTGAGTGCACTGTTAGTCTCCTCAAATGTCTCCTGGCATAGAAAATGTTAGTCTTCTGGAATAGAAAAGGATCACTTGGGGAAAACTGTCGAAATCTGAATAAAGCCTGTAGGTCAGATAATAATAACATACCAGTGTTGATCTCTTAGTTTTGCCGAATATGCCATCATTATTTAAGGTCCTAACTTGGGGGAACTTGGGGGAAAAGCACACATAAACTTGTGTTTGTAACTTTTTTGATAAATCTATAATTATTCCAAAATAAAGTTTCTTTTTAAAAGAAAAATACAGACTTAATAAAAGTATCAACTACTCATAATGCGGGACTTTACTTGAATCATGATCAAATAATTTAAAATTTGTGTCTATGAGACAACTGGAAATTTAAGTGTTACATATTTGATATTAGGAATTAATTGTTAATCACTTTTCAGCGTATTAATAGAATTGTAGTTTTATGTGTTTTTAATTTAATTTTTCTTTTTTTCAGTGATGGAGATTAAACCCAGGGATTCAGACATGCTTGGCAAGCACTCCATTGGTGAGCTACACCCTCATCTATAATTCTTTTAGTTTATACTTCTAAAAAATAAAGGCTGTTTTTACAAGTATAATTACAGAGTGGTGGGAATGTAGCTCTGTGGTAGAATGCTTACCTAGCGGGCTGGGGATTTAGCTCAGTGGTTTCGCCACCTGCTGCACATGAGCAAGGACCCGAATTCGATCCCCGGTACCAAAAAAAAAAAAAAAGAATGCTTACCTAGCATGCATGAGACCCTGGGTTCAAGCCTCAGCAAAAATAAATAAAAAATAGATGAAATGATATGTCATGAATTTGCTTAAAAGCAATGTAAAAGGAAGAAGCTAGTGGATATGGGGACAGGTTAAGAGATATACGTAATTACTGAAAATGAATGATAGAGACATGGAAGATCATCATTCCATTTTGTCTTTGTATATGTTTAGAATTTGCCAGAATTTTAAAAATTAATTTTAAAACTCCAAAGAAGAAAATCCATAATCCCCTAACATTTGATCTCTGCTGCTATATTTGCCCCCTTAGCAACTCTGTAATTACTTCTTTCAGTCCCTGTATTAATCAGCTTTCTGGTTGCTGGAAAAAAATACTTAATATCTGCAGCTTAAAGGAAAAGAGGTTTATTTGGCTCATGGTTCAAGAGATTCAGTCCATGGTCAGTTAGTTCCAAGGCAGAAGGGTGTGGCCAAGTAAAAGTGGTTAGTTCATGGTGGTTAGAAGCCTGAGGATAGGGGAAGAGCATCACTGAGAACAATACCCTCAAAAGCCCACCCCCAACACCTCCTCCAACTGGGTACCACCTCCTAATAGCACACTCAGCCAAGACCACCATGGATTAGTCCACTGTGGGTATTGCACCCTCATGATCCAATCAACTCTCCAGGACTCTTGTAATCCAGGCAAGTTGACAATTAAGCTTAACCATCACAGCCCCCATGCTCACAAAAGCCACCTATCAGCTTGGAGAGTCAGAGTCCTCTTTAGATCTGGCCACCCACCTGAGCCTTTGGAACTTATCGAGGACATTAGAACATCATCACACAGCTGGAAAATCTGCCCAGGGAGCCTATGGGGCCCATAGTGAAGAAATGAGAGTGTTTGTCTGAGGACCATGAGACTAAGAGCAGCCTCATCCTTCAGCCACCTGTAGGAGCAAAGAGGTCCCTCCTCACTCTCACAGCCATGATTTAGAGATTTTAGCTCCTCTCAACCTCAGAGCAAACTGGATCTGAATACAGATGAAGAGGAAAAGAAATGATGATAACTCAAGGCTTAATTCTAATGCAACCCTTTTTTCTTCCCCAGTGCAGGAGTCTTATTAAAGAAACAGCAGGATGCTGACAGGAAACTGTTTGTAAGTAGAAATAACACTTATTATAACAAGTCGGAACAACAGGCAGATAGGTTTATTTGTTTGTTAATTATATCTGGTTTTATTTTCTAATGAGTGCCTTAAGAAAAGGGGGAGCATTCTGACAGTTGTTTGAAACCAACTTTTAAATCCTCATAGAAAGAGGACATGAGCAGTAAGCACAGTCTTGATCTATGAACCAAGAGAAGGCCTCTCTCACCCCTTCTTTTGTTGATTAGAAGTGTGAAGTTTTATGATGTAGAGTCCTGTGAATGGGGGTCTAAATTCCTGCTTTAATGATACCTTGTCAATAGAAAGGTTCTTGCTCACCACTGGGGAAGATACTGATGGAGATACACACAAAATGCATATGTAATTTGTCAACATTTATAAAACATAATCTACAGCTCTTCTCTGAGTATGATATTGCCAGAAAGACAACATATATTTGCCTTTATATAGAAGTGTAAATTTTATCCAGATTGACAAAACATAGCCATGAATCAGAACTTCTTTTGCAGACAGGGTCTCACTGTGTTGCCCAGACTGGCGTCTAATTGTTGAGCTCAAAGAATCTTTCCTTTTGCCTCAGCCTCCTGAATAGCTGGGACTCCAGGCATGCACTAGATGGAACGTTGAGGTGTGGGGATCCTGAGTCCAGTCCAGGGCCAGCCTGGCAGTATTCAAGACTCTGTCTCGAAGAAAAAGAAAGGGGAGAGGGGTATGACTCAAGGAAGCAGTGTGCTTCACATCTTGGCTTTTTTATTCAAAATGAAGTTTTCACATTATACAATCAGATTCTATGTTTTTTAAAAATCCTACAATCAAGGATTCTTCTGAAATCAGATCAACTCAGAGTGGTCTGAATTACTTAAACCAAAGAACAAACATGTGTGATGGATAAAACATAGTCACTAAGAGAAAAAGCAGAGACGATCCAAAGTATCCTCTCAGTTTCCAGAGAGACTGCCCTCCTTTCCTTGCTTCGTATCCTTTCCCCCAGACCACCTTGCCCTACCTTAACTCACCCTCTTCTTGAATTAACCAGTTCTATTGCTGACCAGAATTCCATGGACTCGAGAATTTAATAAAGAAGCTCTCCCTAGATAACAGACATGGTCCTCCCATTCCACTCCTCGTTCCCACAGCAAGTGTGTCTGTTTTGCATTTGGCCCTTACCATCATTATTGGCATATTCTTGACCATTTGTTTGGGTCTTTGTTTCATCCATCTTCTTCTAGTACAATTCCTAAGGACCCTACTGTGTCTTTCATTTGCTGCATTTGTCCCCAGAGTGCTATCAGCAAAGAACACTCCCAGGAATGTTGCCCTTGACACTGAAGAGCCTATATTGTATTGATGGCTTGGGCTTGAAATTTGGGTCCAGGTTAAAAATTCAGGGAAAGGAAGGAGGAGGTCATATCTGTGACTTTAATAAGATTATTTTGAAACCTTTCTGAACCTTTTATGGGGGGGATAATGTAAATTTTTTTCCATCTCCTCCTCCCTTATTGTTTCAAAACTGGTTATTCTTGTTTTCACTGAATCAAGTGTTTCTTTGGATTTGTTTGAATTCTACCAAAAAGCTCAAAAACCAGCTTGTGGGCAAGATGAGAGGCTGAGTTGGCATGGACACTAAACTCAGGGCAGCGGCATCTCCTCAAAGGGACCAGCTCTGCTATTTTCTGAAGTTAGTGCAATATCCATAGCTTTAGGGTATTTGGCAAAATAAAGGGATCAGAAAGCCACCAGTCTCTGGGGAAAAGGAAGGAAACAATTCTTTATTGAATTCTTGAGTCCATGGGATTCTAGCCAACAATAGACCTGGTTAATGCAAGAAGAGGGTGAGTGAAGGTAGGGCAAGAGATTGGGCACTGATTTCTGAGGAATTAAAATAATGGAGATTTTTACTTGAAAAATTTTCAGAACGGAATTTTGTATGCTCTCTTTATGAATATCCACCATATTCTGGAACCTGACTGGAGGCTGTTTAGAAAGATGTCTCAGCTCACCCTTCAGAACTAGTGTATGTGGGGGTTAGAGGAGAGAGAAGAAACTCAGTGGGAAGGAAAAAATTTTTCCTGCTTCTGAGAGCCAAGGAGAAAAATCCAATCCGGAAATTGTTCTTAAGGAGCTTTCTTTCCACCAGCAACTCATCAGTCTTCCCTTGGAGTCTCCAGGAAAACCCATGGAAGAGGTTATGCTACAGTGACAAGAAACTGGAGTTAGGAAAGAAATTGAGCTGAAGGTTGAAACAACTAAACAATGTACTAAGGAAAGAACATGTAATTCATAGCACCTATGCAGTGATCCAGCTGCCTTATGGTGGTGAGGCTGGATCATGGGGAAAATCTGTACAGGAAGGCAACTAGAGAGAGTAGTAGGCCAGGTGTCCAGTGACCAAGTGTAACCATTTCTCCTGAGCTCGTGGGTTGTGGGACAGCAGCAGTCTTCCTGTCTAGACTCTTTTGGGGGCAGTGGGAATTGAACTCAAGGTCTTGCCAAGCACTCTGTCAATGAGCTACATTCACAGCTTGAAATTCTTCATAGCAAGAGCACCACATTTTTATCTTACACAGAGCTCCTCAAGTTGCGTAGCTGGGGTATTTTGTAGAGCTGGGTATTAAGTGGCTTTGGCTATATTAATGGATTCATTTATCTCATTTTTTGAGCTATGTATAAAACTATACTACAAAATGAAGGTGATGAAAAGGTAAAAACTTTAAGAAAGAGAACAAATTTTAAATGCTTTATTGGGAAATGGCATGATGTTAGGGTTGATTGACTGGCTATTCCAGATATCAGAGCTTAACTCCTCTTCACAGATTGTCACAGCAATAAGACCTGCGTACCTACTAAACACTAAAATTTACACTGAAGGTATTTTAGTCTTCTGTCTCTTTCAGTGTGAAGGGATGCTTATTCTAAAATATAATTCTCATTCAACAACACAATATAAATGAAATATATGGCCACTTTACTTTTTATTATTTTACGTTAAGATCAGAGTAATATTCATACTGAAAGGCAAACATTTATTAAAGACTGAACAGTACTGAGGGATAAGCTTAGTGGTAGAGGATGTGTTTAGCAAGTGCACCAAAAAAGAAAATAATAAGAAAGGGTAGGGTGAGAAAATGCTGAATGTAAGTAGGGATCTTTACTAGATTCTGGGATTTCGGAGTTAATATTAAGATCAGGGTTCCAAAAAAAAAAAAAAAAAAAGATCAAGGTCAAAATTGGAATTAGGGCTAAGCCTCAGTACCCAACTTGCAGATGTATTACACACAGAAATCAAAGCAGACTATTCATACGTATAAATAAAATATACCACATGTACTCACGAATAATGAAATAAAGAAGTCTTGGTGAAGAGCCAATGAGCCTCAGGGTTAAAGTATGCTGTAGAAATTCAGGGGAGAAGAGAATCGCAGGAACCAGAAAGTCTAAATGTTTGTGTCCTCCAAAAATTCATATGTTGAAATGTAATCACTAATGTAATAGTATTAGAAAGTGGAGCCTTAGGGAGGTGATTATATCATGAGGGCAGAGCCCTTACAAATAGGATTAGTTCCCTTATAAAAGACACCCTACAGAGCTACTTTCCCCCTTCCACAATGTGAAGACACAAGACGAATACACCATCTCTAAACTGAAAAGTGAAACTTCAAGAGACATAAAATCTGCCAGTGCCTTGATCTTGGACTTCTCAGCCTCCAGAACTGTAGAAAATAAATTTTTGCTGTTTATATAAGCAGCCCAAACAGAGTAAGACACAGTCCAAGCTATTGAAGTCCCCTTGGTAGAGGCAGAGTGAGCCCATGTACCGACAAATAATGAAGTAAGTTTGGGAATCAATGAGTGTGTAGTGTATACCCATTCCCAGCAGAGTTACAGGGATCCAGCAGAGGTACGGGGCCGGGGGTGTCCTCAGTGGCAGAGTATATGCTTAAGATGCACAAAGCCCTAGGTTAGATCCCAACACCAATAAAAAAAAATGGAGATCTGGAGGTGGGCAAGCTAAGGTTCTCACCTTCACACAGCTCTAACCCAAGAGGTAGAAAACACACTGATGCCCCCTCAGGGAGACATTGTCCCTGCTCCTGCCAGCTAAATGACTAGAAAATTCTCAGAGAAGATGAATATGAAGAACTGTCTTTGAGTTGTTGATTGAAACAGTTGAAAAAGGAAAGGTATCGATCAGGGAAGTCAAAAAGAGCCATCTTCTTCAGCAAGAGAACATCAGAGAACCGGGAAATAAGAGTGTGGCTTAGGGTGCAGTCCCCAGTCTGTACTCATTAACTGACTGCCTGGAATCCCAAGATAGTCTCAATATTATTTACTTAGGGTAACATTCATCAAAGATAACCTTAGACTATTTTTTCTAAAAGTAAAGAAATACATAGAATAATTTTGCCTTGCTTTAAGCAGTCCTGATCTTTAAAATTTAAAAAAAAGAAATCACTGAAAAATTCTTCTTTATAGAATGTCTTACCACAAGATGTCCTTAAAAAGTAACCTGCCGGCCTTACCGAGGTCCTGAGTCACGCAGAAGACGCCGAATCACCCCGCTGCAGACAGGCAGGTCTGCCCACACCCTGCCTAGATCCCCAGTCCCGCGGAACACGCCGAATCAGCCCGCTGCAGACAGGCAGGTCTGTGCACGCCCTACCGAGGTCCTGAGTCACGCGGAAGACGCCGAATCAGCCCGCTGCAGACAGGCAGGTCTGTGCACGCCCTACCGAGGTCCTGAGTCACGCGGAAGACACCGAATCACCCCACTGCAGACAGGCAGCCACCTGATTCCACATTACCAAGGCGCAGAGG